ATGTGTATGTGGGCCCCCTGCACTGCATTGCCGTGTTGACAGCCGTTGGCTTGAATATAGTAAGGTACTTTTGGAAACGATTTGCCTGCGTTGTTTTCCTCAAGTATTTCTCCGTAGTCGCCAATGGAGTCAGACACCACGTCTCCTACGGACGCGTTGGCGTCGATCATGATGAGGTCGATGTTGAATTTGAGCGTCATGTTGCTGAGCTCCGTTCAAAAGGCATCGGTCTTGTCATTTCCTGAGTGGGCGCGGGTGGCATGTGCAGCCGCTACCGTTCGCCGAGGGCCGAGCGCCGTAATGCGGACGACCAGCAGCCTAAGGTTTTGGTGCAGGACCTTGGTGTCATTTGGTCGCATCCGTATTTCCACCCCGTTGTCGTCCGAGTGCGACAGGTCGACGTTGATGAAAAGCGAGCACCACAGGTTGTGGTTGTCGTGGCCGTTCGATATGATGTGACGTGCACGGGCGCTGTGCCTTTGGGTAGTCTCGTCTCCTGCATCCCGATCCGGTGGACCTTCATGCCCTTGAGCTGGTGGTTGATCGCATCGATATTCGTGATCTTGCGGCGCAGCTCTCTGCCTGTATGAGTGGGCTCCTTGATGCTTCTGACGTTGAAGATTGCCGCCTTGATGTCGGTGTTGTGCTGTTGTTGGTCCGGTCGTTGAGCGGTTGGAAGTGCTCCGGTGATTCTGCCGCTGCAGGCGTTGTTACATACAAGCCTCTGCCGGTCAGCTCGGGATACACCTTCCTGGTAGCCTCGTCGGACAAGTGGGGCCACTCCCACGGTCGTTGGTGCTGTGCGTCAAAGGCGTTGGCCCATTCGGGTTGGGGGTTGGTATCGTCTCGCCTGCTCTGTTGCTTGGCCACCGAGTCGGCCAGCTCATTCCATGGGTGTCCTGCGTGGGCGCAAACACGGTCGGTATGTATGTTGGTCGCCCCTGCTGCAAGTTCATGTAGATGCATGGCTAATGCTGACAAGTCATGTTTGGTCCGTGCGTTGAATCGTCGTTCGGCAAGCCCTTTTGCCACCTTGAAGTCGATGTGAACTGTAGCGGGGACGCCGATGTACGCTTCCGCTTGCGCATGCACCCAAGCGTAAGCCCAGATGAGTGTTGCCAGCTCTGATGTGTTAGATGTGGCTTTGCCGTGCTCCTCGATTGCCGTCGCACTTGACGCTCGTGTTGCCATCGTGCCTAGGTGTATGAACCGTCATCGTCTTAGATGATGAACTGCCCATGCGTACTTGGTTGAGTCGCTTTGTCGCGTGCCGTCGGTGTACAAGTGGAGCCGCTTTACCGTCCCAGGTGATCGTAGTAGGGCTAGTTCCAAGACCATGATGGCGGCTGGGTGGAATCCCTGTGGCCTGTATAGGTCTGGGAGGTGGGCGTTGAGTCGGGGTAGGGAGGTGCGTCGTAGGACATCAGCGAGCGGTTCTGTCACCGTGAAGGTGGGTCGAACCGTTTCTCTCGTCTGTTGTCTTTGAGGTTGGCTTTCCTGCGGTGATTCCTCTCACACGGAGGAGGTTTCGTCCTCAGGTTGGCCATGTCCAAGTTGGATTTGAATAGGTGGCGCGGGTGCCATTTCGGCCTCGCCTGTTCCCGATGTCGATCACGAGACGTTGTCGATGCCGTAGATGTGACCTGTATCCGGGCGTCCCTCATCCTGTACTCCTCACGCGCTAGTTGGGTATTGGCTGTCGCTCTGTGATGCGTCGGGCTTGTTGGTGCTCGTTGGCTCCGCAACTGCGGGTGGATGATGCGGCCGTCGTGTTTGTCCTAAGTCGTCCGTCAGTCCGCCACCCTAAATCGAGGGCTTGCTCGTTGGCTTTAAAGTCCGCCTGGGTGGTGCCATCGCAGGTCCCTGTCTGGGTCGGCCCTGTGGCTCTCCCAATTGGAGTATGCCGCTAGCTGGAAAAGTCGGTAAGGTGCGTGCCGCTTGCGGTTGGGTAGACCGGTCTGGGCGTACGCCTTTGATGTTTGGTGCTCCAGGCTCACCGTAGGCAGAGCGACTGTTGCACAACATCGACTGTTGCACAACATCGCGTTGCCCTGTGACCGTCAGTAGGATGTTGAGGCAGTCCCCGCAGCTTGGGCCGCATCGCCGCTGGATGCAACCATACGTTGCCGTATCGATGGGGTATGGCACGGCCTGAGTCGGCTCATTGAGGTCGATGGTGGCCCTCTTTGCCTTCCGTGCGCTGGAGCTCCGCGATGGTTGTGCTGCATGCTTGCGTGCTGGTGGTAGCGAAGCGCCCCTGCTGGGAGTGCCGATGAAGATCCTACGTGGAAATCGGGCCTGCGGGGACATCCCCTCTGCGGTGCTGAGGCCGTCGTCCCTCTTCGCCCTCGGCGATAGGGTGTCGAGCAGCACGACGCTCGGGTCGTCCGGCATACTGTGGTCTGTCGGTCGGTCGGGTTGCCCTGCTGTCATTGGTCCAGGCGTCCATGCGTTGGGCGTCGGTGGTGAAGGCGTGTCGCACTCTTCACTTCCTGACGGGAGCTCGTCTCCATCTGCATCATGTGTCGCGGTCGGAGTGCGACGCCCTCTTGTCGGAGTGGATGGGTGGAATTGTTGTTGATCGCCTTGTGTTGGAAATGACGCGCTTGCTCATGCGTCGTTGTGTCCGGGCTGCTTGGTTGATCACCACCTGGTTTGGGTCAATTTTGGCACAGTATCTTGTGTAGCCGTGGGCGCAGCTGGTTGCAAGAATCCACTGGTCTCCTCCTCGTCGCTGGGGATCTCGGTGGTCAGGGCCTCCTCGATGGCGCCCACCATCTCCACGCTGTGGACTCGCTGTTGTGCTTGAGCCGCTGCTTGTCGTGCGTAGACGTACTATTGGGTCGCCTCCTTGGCGCGCCTTTCGCGCATGGCTTTCAATTCTCTCCAGGTGCCCTCTTTTTGCTGGTATAGCGGGATCTCGCGCTGCCAGCGCGGCGCTGGTGGGTTTCTTTCTGCTCTGCCGTGCAGATCTCCGCGTGTTGCAGTACCAGCTGTAGTTGACCTTCTGCTGGGGCCGCATGCTGTTGCGCTTGTTCTTCATAGCTACTCATGTCCATGAGTACGCTTCGGATCTCATGTTCGCGTTATTGGGCTTGCTCTGCGTCTCTTGTTCGTACTACCCTTTCGATGTTGGTGATCCTCTGTTGGTAATCCTCCTGGACGCTCTGGATGGTGGCCTTCATGCGCTTCTCCTGGTCTTGCATCTCGAGATGGGCGCTGCGGAGCAGGTTGTCGGACTGATTCCAGTGATTGCGAATCTGCAGCTCTTCGTTGAAATCGTTGATGCTCTGCGCCTCGATGACGGAGATGTGGTGTTCTGCCCCTCGCATCTTGCTGTAGTGCAGATACCTTCCCATGGCTGTATTCTCCGTCAGATGTAGCTGCTGTTGGTGGTTATTGAGGTCGTTGTCGCGCTCCGCGAGTATCTACTGCGCTTTCTTTCAACTCGCTCTGCATGGCGGCGATGTGTTTCTGCTTGTCTCGAAAAAAGTCGTCCTCCCCGCTGCGGTCGTTGCCCCTCATGATGGCTTCGAGAACCTCATCCGTCATCTGTAATGCAGCCGCTGATTTCGTCTGGATGTACCCGTGGTGGGCCGCCATCTGCTCGGTTGTGATCGTGGCGTTCGTCAGTGCCCTCAGCTCGATCTAGTAGTGTTGTGCTTGTTTGGATGCATGCTGTTGCTTATTTTGCTCCTCGTGTGCGGTCACTTCAACTGTTCGAAGATGCCGCTTCAGCTCGTGTAGTTCCGTTGCGGAATTCTTCCTCTCCGTCTCATTCTCTTTGTTGCTTTTGTATAGGTTGTCGAATTCCTTCTCGGGCTCGCTATTGTTTTTCCTTCTGTCTCGAGCGAGGGGCTGGTTGTCCTCCTCGAGGGCCTTGAGTAGTGATCCAACGTCTTGGAAGTCAATGGTCTCCCCGGCCCAGGCTTGCCTTCTTGGAGCTGGGGTGGGGATCTTCCTCTGAGCGCCGTATCTGCGTGGGACGTCCGCCTCGTCGTCTGCTGCACCAGCCTCATTGTATGAGTCGTCCCGCGCGTAGCCGATACCTCTGTCGATGATATGCTCTGGGTTGGGTTGGTGTTTGCCCTTGCCCATCTTCGCCGTGGGTTTGCCCTCGTTCGATTGGTTTTGCGTCTTCAATCTGATTGTCGTACAGCTTGAGGAGGCTGCCCTTACCCTTGCCGTTGGTGTCTCTGATGTTCTTGTTGGCGCCTTTGTTTCAGTAGGTGTCGGGCTGTTGGGCTGCCCATTTGTCTTGCCTCCACCATTCGAGGCCTGCGCTGATCGCGGGCTCAGCTGGTCGCGTTGGTGGTCCCCTGCTTGGCGTGCGGCTAAAAGTTGGTCCTCATGGCGGTGATGTGCTCGATGACCCACTCGCGATTGATCCCCATGGTGTCGTCATTGTGGGGGCTTGTGGTGGATGTCGCGGAGGGTGCTGCACGATGTGATGTGCCAGAAGTAGTTATCGTGCTTTGTGAGACCATCGTAGAAAGCGGGCGTCAGCACGTTGACGCCGAAGTCGCTTGTGCCAGGCTGGTGATATTGATCGGGTTATTGTCGTCGATGTCAGCGTGGCCCCACGCCGGCGACGAGAGAAACAGTTCAGGTTATGAATGTTGGTGTCTCTCGCGGGCCTGACCTGGCCGCGCTGGCCGTCGCCTCGGCCCCCTTGTGGGGCCAAAGGGGCGGGACCGGGCAAGAACGGCTCCTCCTCCTCCTCCCTCCTCCTCCTCCTCCTCCTCCTCCTCCTCCTCCCCCTCCCCCTCCTCCTCCTCCTCCTCTTCCTCCTCCCCCTCCTCCTCCTCCTCCTCCCCCTCCTCCTAAGGCCTTCCTGCTCCTCTTCCTCCTCTTCCGCCTCCTTCTTCCCGCCTCCTCCTCCCTCTTCCCGCCCCCTCATCCCGCCTGCCGCCCCCGCCTCCCGCTTCCTCCGCCCTCCCTCTATGCCACGAGGCGCGTGGCTGACGGTAAGAAAGCCGTGCGCGCAAGCGCGCGAGCAGGAGCCTGCGGAGGAGGGCGGGCGCAGAGTCGAGGGCGCCGGCGGCGCGTGCGGCTCGGATGCGCCGGGGCAGCCATGCGGCGCTCCCGGGCGGGGGCCGGGGGGGGGGCGCCGTCGTTGCTGCGTCCTTCCCCTTCCTCCCCAGACCCCCTTTGCGTCGTGAACAAGATCACGACGGGAGGCTTTTCGTTCTTTTCGTGCTCTGGGGCCCTCGCCGGGCCCCGTGGGCGTCAAAAACCCGACCCAGGAGGAGAAGCCAGTCCCGGGGAAGGGGTCTGGACTTGTGGGGGCCCACAGCATGTGACGTCAGGGAGTCTATTCCCTCCTCCGTCCTCCTCCCTCCTTCTCCCTCCTCCTCCCTTCTCCTCCTCCTCCCTCCTCCTCCCTTCTCCTCCTTCCCCTCCTCCTCCTCCGACTCCGCCTCCGACTCCGCCTCCGCCTCCCCCTCCGCCTCCTCTTCCTCGTCTCTCCTTCTCTTGCCTCCTCCTCCTGCTCCTCCTCCATCTATATGGCTCAATCCCTTGGGCTCCGCTGGTGAAGGCGCCGCTACGCCTGCAGTTCTCCTCGAGCATTCTGTACATTGAGCTGCTGAAGAAGTGCGTGGTGCCGAGAGTGGTCGAGCAGATGGGGGCGGCTTCGGAGACTTTTTCCAACCGTGCCAAAGCGTGGTTCAAGGCCTTCGCTCTTGCACCAGATTCGTTCAGGTGCTCGCCAGGCCCGCCACGTGATGCAGGCAGTGACGAAAGCTCATCCAGCCCTGGGCCATAGGGCCACCGCCTGTGGATCGACGACCTCTCCCAGACAGCCAACAGCTCGAGGAAGGCGATCCGCAAGCAGATGATCCACTGCCTCGCCCTCACCTGTCAGAAGCTGGCTGAGAGGAAGCTGCATGCCGCTGTGAAGTCAGCCGTGATGTGTACACATCAAGCTGATGCGGAGTAGCTGTCAGAGTTGTGAGCAGGAGAGAGTTTTTTCCCTCAAGGCGGTCACTCAGACCGCGCACGTGGGAGTGGATTTTGGTAGTGGGCGGCACGCGAGGACCGTGAGTTCCAAGCGCGAGGCCAAGCATAAGTTGATGAGCAAGAATATCAAGAGATTGATGCGTGTATGTCGCCAATGCGCCGTCATGCCCAAGTTGCAGAAGCAAGGGGGCTGCCCTGCAGGCCTGTATGGGCATCAAGTGCATGGAGCATTCGGTGGTCAGCTAAGGGCGTGCAGGCGAAGGTTGGCGCAAGCTGGTTCCTCAGCTAGCAAAGGTAGGTGCCTTACCAAAATGCTGGACCTCAACGCGCCCAACGCCGACCTTGCCATCGCCATGCCCACCACATGCGTCGACATGTGGCTGCAGGTTTGGTGGGACCAGCCTTCGACAAGGCCAGCAGTCAACAAAGTTTGGCAGACCGTGGTTGAGAAGATGCCGTGTGCCTCATGGAAGGATCAGGCTCGCCATGTGAGAAGACCCATGCCAGCAGTGCTGTTCTCTTCGTTCCATCTAGGATGGACACTGGTTGACGCGACTTGGTGGTCTTATCCCACGGGCTTGAATACAGATTGAAGTGCGGCAGTGCCCTGGTAGTGCGAACACAGGCGGCAAGGCGAAAGACGAGCACCGTGCAGAGCACTGCATCCGAGCGTGTCTGGTAACAAGCGATCAAATATGATTGTGGTCTTGGTCTGGAGCGCGGGGCTGGCAACGACTCGCACCGCTTCCTAATCCAGCAGATCAAGCAGCTCGAGCACGGCAAGAGACTGGCACAGACGATGGCCGTGATCGCGTCAGCAGGGTGCTGGCCCAAATCTCAATAAACAAAAAACAGCCAAACTCGAGTTGGTCAACTCTTGCTCTGCATCAGATGTGTGCGACCGTTGTGAAGGGGCCCCGGGGACTCTTGCCAATCGGCATTGGAAGTGTTCAGCAATCAATATCCCGTTGGTTCTCGAACAGTTTGAAGATATGGTAACCGAGGCGCTTACTCAAGTTAAGCTTTGCGAGGCCTTCTGGTTGCGTGGCATGCCCTTTAAGGAGTGGACCAGCATCCCAGAGCCCAAGATGGCTGATAGGTGGAAAGTCTCTGCCATCAAAGAGTGGTTCGACTGGTACATGGGACACGGTGGGCCTTCGGCACCAATAATCATATCAGGAGACGCGTCGGGAGGTCCAGATTCAAGCCCGTCCAAATTCCAACGGTTATGTTCAGCCATTGTGAGTTTCAGGCAGATCGAGCACGATATGCAAGCAAAGATTCCAGTGCTGGGCCCTCTGACAGGGCATAGGCAAGTTGTTGCCAGGGGTGAGTTGATTTGTTATGTTTGTTGCTGCTGTGCGCCACGGGAACCATAGAGTACACCGCAGGTTACGAGCCTCTGTTCAATCATTTGTATTACAGTGATTATGTGAATCCTCACGGAAAGGATGTGCTTGTACATTCGGGATCCCGCCTTCAGTCCTCGTCCTACTCCTCCACAGTCACTAGAGCGAACACAATGCTCAGTCAGGCAGGGCTGGCAGGAGTTTGGTCTTGGACAACACGGTGGCAGACGAGATGGCCGACCCTGCTGCGAGGGCAACCCACGTCGCCGAGCACCGTCGCCATAAGGCTTCTATGCGTGAGAGAAGGGCTAGCGTCGTCAGCCCGTGGATGCTACGGGCTACCATGGACGTCATGAACTTGGAGGCGGGGCTTGGCGCCACCAGGAAGCTGGAGAAAATGAGCTCCGTGGGGGAGAACCCTCCTCCCCCTCCTCCTCCTCCTCCTCCTCCTCCTCCTCCTCCTCCTCCTCCTCCTGCGATTGCCCCTCTCGCTCCCCTCATGTCTCGACATCCGCTCCCAGACTGCAGGCGACGGTGTTGGAAGTGCTACGGGTCAGCCACACCTGCTGCGATCCCCGCGCCCGCAGCCCAGCGGGGCCAAAAGGTGCAACGCTTGATCATAACTTGCATCGCCTGCTGTCTCCTATTTAATGTTCCTACGACTCCTTCTCCTCGACCCCCCTCCCTGTTCTTGGCCGCTGCCGCTCACGGCAGGGGCGAGGGCCAGGAGGCGGCAATGACGAGGACGATGGATTTCGATGGTTCAGATGTTTTCGTCGGTTCCCGAAGGTTGTCCAGCCTCGGCGTGCTTTCCAGCAGTTGTGCCTTGCCCAAAGCGTGCCAGGGGTCCCGGACGGTTGCTGCAGGCCAGATTGTTCGCCCGAGAGCCGGGCGGAATTCATTCACCCCACGCTATGGAAAAAGATCAAGACGGAGGTTGGGGGCGTCTTCGGGCCCGGGGGGCCAGCTTTGGGCCCAGGCACGCCAAGAATGGCTCGGAAAATCTGGCCTTGTGGAAGAGGTGTGGACTTCCAGTGACCCGCAATGGAGAAACTAAAATCATTTGATTCCTCCTCCTCGTCCGTGGCTCGCTTCCTTTCACGTATGTTTTCTTGATAGTAGCGAGAATGCGGCAGTGTTGGGCCAGTCAGGAGTACATCTAGCGTCTAGCGCAAAGCCCACGGCATACTAACAGCCCCCCCTTACATCTTCATCCTTCCTCCTCTGCTATCCCCTCTCCCTCCTACTTTTTCTCCTCGTCGGCCTGGTTATCCTCCTCCTCCTCCTCCTTCTCCTTCTCTTCCTCCTCCTCCGCCTCCTCCTCCTCTTCCTCCTCATCCGTCGATCTCCTCCATGCTTGAAGAGCTCGGTGCTGCTGGTCTCGGATCCGAGCCGCGAGCGAACTGCAGTGACGGTGTTAGGCCGTGCTTTCATGTTGTTGAGCGTTCTTTGCCGTCGAGAAAGTCCACCGTGCACCCACAAGCAGAAGGGGACCGTCAGAGCTCTCACCTGTCGAGCTGTTCTGGCCGGTGAGTCGGGCCACGGCCCAGGGATGTGACGTTCCCGATGTCCGCGAGTTGTGCCACCAGGTGGGAGACATTGCGCTCCATCAGTGTTTCCCCATATCCTGGGGGTGGTCTCTTGCTGTTCCCCATATCCAAAGGATGGGGTTCTTGTTCCCCGTATCATAAGATGGGGTTAGTGTTATTACCCTGACCGCGCCGGACCCTTCACCCCTCCCCTACCTCCTCCCTCTCTTCACCATGGTATGGTGAGAGCATGTTGTGAGTACGATGGTGATGGTGAATTATGGATGAGTATGATGAGTATGATGATGATGGTGATGATGATGATGCTGATGATGATGACGATGATGATGATGATGATGATGATGATGATGATGATGATGATGATGATGATGATGATGATGAGCAAATGATGAGGATGTCTCTGCTGGTTTTAGCACTCCAAAGGGGGGGCCGCCAGGGGTATCTCACGGCTTCCGTTCGCGCCCAGATTGCGGGGATGTCTCAGGCGGTTTGCCTGTTTTGGTCGCGAACATCCTTCGCTTTCGGAGCAGATTTTGAGGATGTTTCGTGCGAGGCGCCTCCTAAGGGGGGGCCCCCAGGGGTATCTCACGGCCTCCGTTTGCGCCCAGATCAGATTGCGGGGATGTCTCAGGCGGTTTGTCTGTTTTGGTCGCGAGCATCCTCCGCTTTCGGAGCAGATTATGAGGATGTCGTGCGAGGCGCTGGCTATCGCACCCCAGGGAGCCCAGATTACGAGGATGTCTCGAGCGGTTTGCTTGTTTGGGTAGCCAGACTCGTCTGCGCTCAGAGCAGATTCTGAGGATGTCTCGAGCGAGCCGCTGGTTTTCGTACTCCTAAGGAGGGGCCACCAGGGGTACTCACGGCTTCCGCTCGCGCCCAGATTTCGGGGATGTCTCAGGCGGTGTGCTTGTTTGGGTGCCTGACATCCTTCGTGTTCGGAGCAGACGTTGATGATGTCTCAGGCAGTTTGTCTGTTTTTGTGGCCAGACCCGTCTGCGCTCAGAGCAGATTCTGAGGATGTCTTAAGCGGTTTGCTGGATTTAGCTCCCCAAAGGGGCCGCCAGCGGCGTAGCCTCGAATCGATACCAGTCGCACGGCCTCCGTGCGCGCTTGCATTGTGGCCATGATTCAGGCGGTTTTTTGGATTTAGCTCCCTACGGGGGCCCCCAGCGGCGTAGCCTCGAATCGATACCAGTCGCACGGCCTCCGTGCGCGCCCATGGTTGTCTG